TCTTTGATGTAATACAGTTGTTCGCCACATCTTTTTGGTTTATCTTGGTTTTTCTAAGATTATGCAGATTTGTGCAGTTAATTGAGCAATCGGTTTAATCAACTAAATAATTATGCAGGTATCCACATGGTACACCGGTTAACGGCAGCATTAAGGTATACTGTTTCAATTCAAAAGATAGTCTATCGTCGAATTTCGATCAACGATTAATCTTAGCTGAAGCAACGGTTAGTTCAGTCTTTTTTCCTCTTTTTTTCAGCTTTTATGCTTTGAACTTTTTGCTCAGTTTGATCACTTATCACTTAAAATGGCTGATCGGGCAACAGTTGTTGCTCTAATACAGCATTAACCTTATCACTGCTATTGACGTTGTAAGGCCTGTATGTTTTTTTTCCTCAACAAACTTTGATCTTCGTTCTTATTACAATTGTTTGACAGGAAGAAAACTGCTCAAGCTGCTTTGGTGTGAGATAAAAGAAAAAGAAAAAACCCAAGAAATAGAAGAACAAAATTTTTTTTTTTTCACATCACTATTACAAAAATTTTTTTTGCTATATTAAAAATAACTTTTTTTTCAATAGAAAGCTGTATTACATTATATAATTTTAATAAATAATCGTCGAATATACAGGCAGATACAAGAAGGTAAAAAAAAAAACAAATAAAAAATCAAAAAATAACATACACATAAATTGAAAAAAAAAACGTCGATTCAAACTCCTTCATTCACTGTTTTTTTTTTCATATGCACATCACTTGTCAGATTTATTTTTTCCTCTTTTCTACTGTTTATTCTATACATTTTGCATCTTTTTTTCCTCTTTTTTTCTTGGTTGCTATTATCTGTGTTTCTCATCAATTTTGTAATCAGCAAACTATGATTGCCAATTATATACTTCCTTGTGTAGACTTTTTTTGAGCACTCAGTTTAATTCTCCATTTCCCCTCTTTTTCCTCCCTCCATTCCCCCTCCCCTCCCTCAAAAAGAAAGAAAAAAATGGATAATTGTCGCTATAGACAAATGGTTTAGCGATATTGGAGGCGCATTTTCGCTTCTATTCAAATAACAGTGTAGCCGTGTAAGATAAAAGAATAACAAAGAACATCAAGTGTAAGGTGATCCCTTTAAAAATCTATTGAGTGTTAATGGTGCTTTAGAAACAAATAAGTCAAACAAAAAGAAGAAAAAGAAAGAAAAAGAAATAAGGTACCAAAAAAACAAGAAAGAAAGAGAAACAAATAAATTTTCAACGTTTTTGTCCTATCTTTTTTCACCAGTTTTTCTTCCTTAATAGCTGCTGTTCTGTTTCTTTTCTAACTTCGTTTTTTTTTTATTATCAAATCCGAGATTCTTTTTTTCTTTCACTAAAACAACATATGTGACTATGTCACACATATTGTTTGATAGATCGTTATTTTAGTTGCTTGAAAAAAAAAACTAATGAAAGGAAAAGGAGGAAAAACAAATGAAACAGAAGCAATGATTATAAACTAACTAACTAACTAATTATCTTAAACACTAAGTAGAAAAGCCATACAAAAATGGGTTGACAAGCGCAATAACAATTTGCAAATCTTTAAAAACATTAGCATGATCACTCATCTGCTCATAAAGCTGAACATCGATATACCGCATAATTGAGTATAAGTTATATGGGAACCAAAATGTTATATGGGTGATTACCACCAACAGTGTTGTTCGAAATACACGACTCCGAAGTTGTCGTCTCCAGACTGGAACTGTTGAACGTCTAGGTGTTGCTCCTAAAAAGAAAAACTACAGAACTTAATCGATAAACATTGGTCGCACTTTTTGATTACCCACTATATTCAATGGCTTCAATAATGCTTTATTTTTTTCTGCCTTTGTTCTTTTCAATTTTTCGGAAAAGGGAAAAAGGAAAACCACTTTTTTTTTTGTTGACTTCTGCAAGAAAATAAACAAAAAAAAAGCAACTGTGCTGCTGCTTTTAAAGTGTTGTTTACTTCTTTTAGCCATCATCATTATCTGCATTCTATGAGCCTTTAAAGAAATATATATATATATATATATATATCTGTTTGCTTATTTATATACTTTAAGTGGTTAAGCACTTTTCTGAGATCTATGATGACAGTCCTTTGCCACAAATTTCTTTTTTTTCTATTTAGAATTGTCAAAAATCTCTAAAAAAATTACTAGAAAGTGTTTTTTGATAAGAAAAAAAACCCTCCCAATAAAACTATTCATCTTAATAAGATTTAATCGTCATGTAATTACTTTTTTTGGAGATCTTATAATACATTAGAAAAGAAGAGGAAAAAAAGGTAAAACACGAAAAATCAACAAATAAGTTTTATATTTTAATAAGACAGGTACTGTTTTTTTTTGTTTTATAGATTTATTATTAGCAGTTACAAAAACAGTCAGTCTTTTTTTTTTTTTTTGTAACAATAAATCATAAGAATGAAAAAGTGTTGAACATATACTTAGTGAATCTGATTACCTGCAGAAACAGTTTTTGATTGCCGACGTTTTGATGACTGCTGTAATAAGGGCCGTCCGTTATCATCACTTTTTGCTTTATCTCTATAAATTTTTGCTCTCAAATTGTGTAAAATTTACAGATTTATTGGCTTAGATAAACAGTCAATTTTTGCTTTCTTTTCTTTTTTTTTTTGTTTTCTTAACAAAGCAGCTCCTTTGTTAATCTATTTTCTTTTAAATTTTTGTTAACAGCAGCATATTCTATTACAAGAAATTGTTGAAAACTTTAGAACATTCAAACCTTACAGATTTAGAGAAGTTTAATTGTATCTTATTTTTAAAATTTTTTATTCGATCTCTAAATCTTTAGTAAATTATTTAGAAGTTGATTTTTGATCGCTGTTTCTAAGCAGAAAAATCGCTATAGTTTAGTGTCGCTTGATCAGTTTTAAAAATCTGTGAGAGTGTGAAATGTTGCAAGTCTTCTTGTTACGCCATTTTAAACATGATAATCTATGTAAAATTCAATAGATAACAGAATATAAAACTTAAGAATATAAAGCAAATATAAATACCTCGGTAAATTTGTGGTGATACATACTTGGTACAATGATGTATCTAAGCTTTCCTCTTCAGATGCATCAACACAACAGACCTGAAAAGAGGAAACAGATAGACAACAAGAAACCTTGTTTGCCAATTTTCTTGTCTTTTTGCAGTCAATCAGTATCACCCAAATATCAGTACATCTTGTAGACATAAAAGTATTGTAATTTAATAAATGATAAATTGTATTCTGTTGAAATTTTAGCAGAAGACGTTAAATTAGAAGAAGAAAGTTTCAAAAAAAGAGGCTTACATTTTTGAAACAGTATGATGAGGCTTGCTTAGATGTTTGCTTGTTACTCTTCAACGAGTATTCAGATTCATCATAGTCAACATTTTTTTGATCTATGCTTCCTCTTGATTTTTCCAAACCTCCATCTGAAAAACAAGAGTAGAAAAGAAGTTAATCAAGTTATTTCATCGTCGTTTTCACTTCATTTGTACTTCCTATAGCTTGTCTCAATTGCCCAGCTGCTTCTCCTGTTTAAATCAATCAGTTCTTCCTCCCATCTTTTTGTACTTTACTTCTTCCTCGTCCTTCTCCTCTTTTATTTACGCTATCTGATGCGAATAGTTGTTTCTCATAATACATCAGTTTCCAACACAATTACTGTTTCATCTTAGACAAAACCTATACTTTAATGTTTAAAGTAACAAATGCAAAAAAAAGAAAGAAATTTTGTTTTTCTTACCTGAAAACATACTTTCATTGTTTTGAATTGGCTGTCCGGCTACATATTTTGCTTCTGTTGGCTTTTTTAGATTGTCTATCTAAACAACACACTTCATCAAAAAAAAAAAAAAAAAAAAA